AATATATATATATATATATATATATATATATATATTACAGAGAGGAAATAGCTTATTCAATAAATCATAATAAACATTTCCCAATTCATTAGAACATGTTTCATATTCTGTTTAATCCAATAACACGAGTAGAAAATGATCCAAAGAGAAGGCCTATGGACAATCTATAGATAATAGTGGTAGCAGTATCAGACACTGATTGTACTCAATGCCAAAAAAGGAAATTCCAAAAATGAAGATACTACACTTCTTAAAGGGAATATAAAATAAATTTTTGACATTTCCCATTATTTATATAATAAAATAGAAAATGAAAAACAAAAAAAGCCACTGAAAAGGAAGTTATGACATCATATACATTATTTCCTTTTCACTTTTTTGGTTTTTTATTTTCCATTTTATTATGAAAAAGTAATTAGAAGCACAATAAATGTATTTCATATTTCCTCCTTATGGAGTATTTTTGCATTTTTTTCATGTTCACTTTCATTATTTAGTATACGTGTCATGTCCCATTGTAGTTATATCACTTATAGCACTAAATTTAGTACTTAGATGTTGAATGACAATTAACTTTATAAGAAATACAAAGAACCACATTAATTCCTGTTCTACTTAGTCATACTACTGAACACTTAATAGTACTACTACTCAGAGTCACATCATTAAGCATGATAGTGTTTAGTATGTAAGGATGGGCCAAGAAAAAATGTCCACCACATATTATGTATTGCTTATCATAGTGTCAAATCTTTCTTATAACAATCTAAGAGACTTTTATAAGCACCTAACTTAGGTTTTTGAGGTTTAAAAAGTTATTAATACCTTCAGTTTAGCAAAAAAAAAAACACTGCTAAAATATAGAACTGGTGAGTAGCATAACATCCGAATGTTCTACTGATTATTCTGATTGTAGCTCACCAATGTTTGAAGTTGTTGCAATAATTCACACACCAAACTGTTGCATTTTTACATGCGGAGTGCAGAAACCATGTAGTGTTTCACTTACTTCAACATATGATGTCCATTATAACAAACTAATACTGTTGCCTTCATAGAGACTGCCATTCATTAATGTTAAAAAAAAACGAGGGGAAACAAGCAATAAAAAATTTTGAAAAAAATAAGGATGATGTATGGCTGATGATGTCAAAAAGTACAGAACCAAGGTAGGGATGAATATACAAAACCATACAAAAATCCCATACTTGTTAACTATTTTGGGGCTCTTCCATGCATACTCAGTCTCTTACTTTACTGACACACCACCCTTTGCACAGTCTTAAACACTTGTCCAATTTCAAATAAGAACTTTTCACATTACATAGAAATATGTTACTTTGATGTATTAAATAGCAGTTATATTGCTATTTTTCTATTTATTAGGGATATGTCTTTATACAAGACGATTTACAAGGTTACCATGCATGAGATTGTAATGTTTCACATATACAATATAACATGATGTTCAACACCCTCCCCTACACACACACACATATATATACACATACACAATAGGAACAACATAACACAGCCAATATCCAAAATGTCATAGCCACTTTTTATCTATTTCATACTACATTATAATTTATAACCTATATATATATATACATGTTTATTTCAAGTTCTGTGTTAATCTGGCCCTGTTACAACTTGTCTTAAGTTAGCTTTCTAAAGGTTAAAAAATATATAATATTAATATACGCTATTTTTTAAATGATGGTATTAAAACGTTGAGTGTTCCCATTTATTACGTGCTGAAATAGCACACTTGCTTAAGCTTTTGCTTTACATAATTATTTATTCAAATAAAACGAGATAATAGTTTTCTAGAATACCTCAACTGTCTGTCGTATTTTTACTTTTTTCTGGGTCTGGAGAATATCCACTTTGATATTTTAACGCAGCCATAGCTGTCTCGACACAGAAAGCAAATCTGCCATCTGTCGGGACAATACTTAACAGGCTCACAACCTGGCTTAATTAATAATTATTACTTAAATTACCAGGACTTATTGCGAGCTCACTTCTCTTATATCGAAATACATAATAAGATACTATACATTTTTCTTCGGGGTGTTGCTAATTGCCTATCTTCTCTTTGATCAGTAGTTCAAAATTAGGGACGGCAGCAGGTAGCGTTAATTTTGCCATAAATACAAATGTTACAAAGCACCTCTTAGACTCAGCGATAAAAATTAGATTTCGACACCCGTTTCGTCCATAGCAGAGACGGCCCATTGTGCAGTTTTGTGCTTAACAGCATCTTCCCCTTAAAAATACAAATTCAATAAATAACGAAATTCAAGGACTTATAACCACGAGGATCTCGGCGGTTCGCTGGTAAGTCTAAGGGCTTTTAATGCTAAAAATTGGGCTTCGATACTTACGCTGGGCAGAGAAGAGGTAGACCATTTTGTAGGTTTTGCCTAACAACAATCAAACAGTAACCAAGAAAAAAGGAACAGCATCCAGTATATATATATATATGCGCGCGCGTGTGTGTAAACATATTGATATGAAAATTAAAACAACTAAACAAAATCACATAATGAATTAGTGAATTAGTGGCGCAGCGGCAAATTTATGAACTTTCAACACTAAAAACCGAGGTTCAGTTTCCCACTGTGGACAGAGAGTACATAGTCCATTGTGTAGCTTCACACTACAATAAACAATCATACAAAATTAATATAAAATTATTTAAATAAAATATGTTGTAATTTTATTTAGCGCAAAGTTATTCAATAGGTAATTTGTGATGTTCGAAATCCAGACACACTTACTTTGTATAGTACTACTTGGCTTTTATCGTTATTAGTTCGGCAGAGATTCATCTTAAAAGATGGAAAACTGGAGAGCTTTCGAACTTTTTAATGATCTAACAGAGGTGATCGTCCACTTACTTGCCTATGCAGGTACGCACACTGTTTTGCATGTTGTGTCTAAATAAAGATAGTTTCAATGTATCCAATCAAATTATTGTTCACTCCAAAAAAACAATCAAGTTACTAACTACACGAATACCCCTCTCCCCTTGATCGAATC